GATGTAATCAGAACATAATATTTAGTATTTTGGGTCCGTTTAACACTTGACAATTCAAATTTCTAAAATGATTTGAATTTTAGAATGTTTATATAAAAGTCTACTTTTCTAAATTTCAAAACCTCAAACTGATTTGGTATAGTTAAATTTACATGGACCATTTTGGTCTTAAAGCAAAAACAAAAACAAGAAATAAAATAAATCAAACAAACAAACAAAAAAAAAAAGAAAAACAACAACAACAAAAGAAGCAAATTAAGAAAAAAGAACAACCAACCAAACACACAAAAACCCAAACACACAGTCAAAACATAACAACATCAACAGTTCATACTAATATTTAAGGAATGAAGCTTATTTCAACTTATATTATACGATATAACATAACTTGGTGCAGTTTACGCTTTATAAACCGCGAAGCGGTTTATAAAAAAGCATAGACTGCCCCAAGTTTTGTTATATCGTATAATATAAGTTGAAATAAGCTTGAACATTCCTTATAATTTAATTTCAGTGCAGACAATGAGATAATTTTCTCCCCAGAATAAGGCTTCATAATGATTTAATTTTAAAAGTAACGTCAAGCGGAGTAATACGTTTTTTGACGTAACTCATTGTGACGTAGGCAAGTTATGTTATCCAAAATGGATAAAATCTTTTACAAGTAAAATTAAATTATTAAAAAAGGAACGGTCGACGGTTGACACTTTCAATATGTTCTAGTGTCGACCAGGGACAAGTCGACGGTTGACAGTTGACACTTCCCTTGTGTTCTAGTGTCGACCAGGGACAGGTCGACGGTTGACAGTTGACACTTCCCTTGTGTTCTAGTGTCGACCAGGGACAGGTCGACGGTTGACAGTTGACACTTTCTGTGTGTTCTACTGTCGATCTCGGACAGGTTGACGGTTGACACTAACTGTATGTTTTACTGTTACCGGGTACACTAACTCTAATCACTGCTATTAAATTGAGACTAAGCCTAATCACAGTTATTAATGCGAGGGTAACCCTAATCACAGTTATTAATGCGAGGGTAACCCTAATCACAGTTATTAATGCGAGGGTAACCCTAATCACAGTTATTAATGCGAGGGTAACCCTAATCACAGTTATTAATGCGAGACTAACCCCAATCACAGTTATTAATGCCAGAACAACCCTAATCACAGTTATAAATGCGAAACTAACCCTAATCACACTTATGTATGCAAGACTAATCCTAATTACACCTATTTATGACAGTAGAAATGGTTAAATGGCAACTGTCCCCGGTCAACAGTAGAAATGGTTAACTGTCAACTGTCCCCGGTCAACAGTAGAAATGGTTAACTGTCAACTGTCCCCGGTCAACAGTAGAAATGGTTAAATGTCAGCTGTCCCTGGTCGACAGTAGAAATGGTTAAATGTCAACTGTCCCCGGTCAACAGTAGAAATGGTTAACTGTAAACTGTCCCCGGTCAACAGTAGAAATGGTTAACTGTCAATTGTCCCCGGTCAACAGTAGAAATGGTTAACTGTCAACTGTCCCTGGTCAACAGTAGAAATGGTTAAATGTCAACTGTTCCCGGTCAACAGTAGAAATGGTTAACTGTCAACTGTCCCAGGTCGACAGTAAAAACGGTCAAATGTCAATTGTCAACTGTCCCAGGTCGACAGTAGAAATGGTTAACTGTCAACTGTCCCCGGTCGACAGTAGAAATTATTAAATGTCAACTGTCAACTGTCCCCGGTCGACAGTAGAAATGATTAAATGTCAACTGTTCCCAGCCGACAGTAGAACCGAATCACTACTTTTATATATATATACAAGCTTCCGCATAGGGACTACATACCCTTATATTGGAGTTCTTGTTTTATTTGTTTTAATTTTGAAAGACTCTTATGTTAATTAAAAACAATCACTCTAAATACACTAATATTTATCTTTAGCTATCTTAAATGCATGTTGAGAAAACTCAATGTCCTGAACAGAAATACAGCTCCAAAAATACAGAATTCATTTTAACTTTAAACCATATACAGCTGGACACTTAGCAGCTCATTATGTTTAATTTTGATTTACATAGTAAACTGAACAAAACGTCAACAAAGTATTAACAAATAATAAACGACTTCAGATATACAGAAAATATAAAGATTTGATTTACCTTTGACTATTTCTCCGATACACAAGGACCACCACTATACATATCACAATCAGAGCGACGATTCCACCTAGGACGGCCGCGGTAGGGAGTTCTGAAAAGAGTAATTAGACATCTAAATGTGTTGTCTGTTAATTCAGTTATTATGTCCGTTGTTTCAGACTAACAGGGAAAAATATCATAGTGTGTTCATTGGAAAATTTAAAATTAATATTCCTATATTGTATGCAGTATGAACTTCAAAAAATGTGCAACTTTAATATTATAGCTCTTGAAATCTGCAAATAACTGGTAAGATTTATTACACTGTATTTTAAGTGTTAATTTTCAGTGGAACATAAAACATTTTACAATTTGCCAAAACATTACAGTCCTCGCCATATATGGATTGGTGCTTATTTATTGGAATAATTATCCAGTTATTTGTCATTCGGTCAATTTGTACTTAAAAATGACACCAAAAGTTCCTTTACCGAAAAGAATAGAATATAGTAATTTGTTTCCAACAAAACGCACTGGGTAATCGAACTGGTTTACTGGGTATAATGTCATACTCCTCCTTGGAAGAAATTCAAACTTGAGTATATGTTAAACTGTGTTAAATAATTTTGAATCGGTTAATTATTTGAAAAAGGACAAGGTCTTGAGATGAAATTATGTCCATATCATAAGTTCCAAAACCAAACTCTTAACTTGTCAAACGAATTAAATGTTCAGTATATTGTTTCTTGTAGTAATTTAAAGCTCTGTCTTGTCCTTGACCCCATTTTCTTCTGAAAGGACAAAGTCACTGGACAAAAGGATATCAAGTGTTACATAAAGCTTGCTAGTTTGTAACAATGTGAGTCAAGTTAAAATCTTCTATACATTCCAGATTAAATATTGCATATATATATATATATATATATATATATATATATATATATATATATATATATATATATATATATATATATATATATATATATATATATATATATATAAAACTGAATCAGGAACAGGAATATAATTTGGGTTGGGGAAACATTAATAGAAAGTTATAAAAATAACTATAGCTATAACATTATTTTTGTTTCTTTTTATGTCTATTTAAAGTCTATTTCTTTTCATACAAGTTTATTTCAAGAGTAGTGAAAATATTCTTTTTTAAAAAGACAACGGAAACAAAGGAAAGACCCACGTGATTTTGGAACTGGTCCATGGCCGTCTACGTCTTCTTTGTTGTTGTTGTCACCCGATCCAACTATGACTGGACGTGTTTCTGATCCATTTACTGCTCTGGTTCCTGTGGTCATCCTACCTGAAACCATGCAGAAGAACGTCCATCAACTGCTACTAAACATTTACATTGTTAATTAAATAACAATATTAGGTAAGTATATTGTTTGAATTTTAAGCGTTTTCTCTTTTCTCATCTTACCTGTGCTGTGGTCAGTCGCTGTTGTTGTCGTTGATGTACCTTCTGTTGTATTGTCCATTCCTGTTGAGTAACTGCCTGTAACTATAGACGTAGTAGTATTAGACATTTTACAGTTTTCCTCAAAGCACAGTTTTAAAACAAGGAAATCATCAAAATAAAATTTATTTAAAAAAAAAACAACTTTTATTCCAGTAACAAAGCTGCTTATATGTACATGTATATCCGTTTGAAAATAAACATGATGAAAGCTCATTCAATGAAATAAAAACTCATGAAAATGATGATAAGAAAAACACACATCTTTCAGTGACAAGAAATTCACGTGTTGAGACAGTCACGTCGTTTGTATGCTATATAAGGAGGACAGCGATAAGAGGTTGGAGGCTGAATTAATAATGGTTTCCTATCGTCCTCCCGTGACCGCGAGAGGATCTCTCCACATCCGAGCACAAAACTCCGCGCTGTCTGACATCCGTAAGATAAAGCTGAACGACGAGGCTTTTGTTTTTCTTATACACATACTTATAGAAATTAAATAGGAACAGCGAATACTTGTTTCGAAAAATGTTTGACTAGATATGCGTGTCTCAGTGCAAATTTATGTATGTTTCACTGAAATTTTAAGATAATTTTTACTTAAAAAAAAGAAGGAAATTTAAATTTTTTGGAACCAGGATAATGTGTTTTTTTAAAAGTTCGTATCGAAGTTATTAATCAAAGAAGAGGACGGATTATAGGTGGTAAATGAGAAGGAATATAAGTGGCTGGGGATGGGGAGTAAAACGATAGGAGTGGGGGGAGAAGGAGTTTAAAAAAGGGAGAAGAAAGAAAATACAACCTTAGCTCACAGCCCAATTTGAAGGGCAAATGAAAATTTAACCGGTCTTGATAATACATAAATTATATAAAATATTTTACCTCTACATTGACATAATTATCCAAAAGACACTAGCCATAAACGTTGACACTAGGCCTATTTTACACACACTAGAACATTTTACGTACATCCGGCGTTAATGTCTTTGTCCGCTTTTAACAGGAAAGCCGAGTCTCCTACAAGTACTTAGGATGCACGGACTAAGTCAACGTTCACCTCTCATTGTATTGAGGGACAGTGTCGCAATTCATTATTGTTTTATATTACATGCAATATCAACTGAACATGTATTTTATTTGCATTACATAGGTCATACACATCCCATGTTTTCTTTGAAAGTAACATTCCCCTTTCATTGTGATGTAAAAACGGACTCTTAACCTTTGTCTTACTCATGAATGCATACATGTACACCGTACATCATAAATTCGGATTAGTTTAATATGTTTAAAAAATTGTAATTGTGGTAGATGACAGTCTTGTATCCAACGTAGAATAACAGCTATTTGTAGATGAACGAGAAACAATCTAAGATTGGTCACTTCCGGTACTGTCTGACATCTTGTCATGTGATCGGAAGTTGACCAGGATGTTGTTAAGTCAGTTAAGACTTCTAAGTAGCATCGTCTCTTTGAGTAGATTACATTATTACTAATCTTAGATGTGTGATCAGGCGTCAGGAGTGCCAATAATTTCATTGCAACTTGATGATGTGTTATAAAAAAAAACAATGGTACAAATTCGTTGAAAAGGTATTTAGTCAAAATATTTCAAAGAAAGAGGTTTAATCGAATACGCCAAAATATGTGCCATGTAAAGAAATTTACATGAATTTAATATTGGAAAGGATTAAACGTCTCACTTGACACTGTTTGACGAGTCGTTGATATTTTTTGCCCCTATTTTGTCATTTTGGTTTGAGGAAAACATTTTTAATCTTATTTATGCCTCATTCAAATGTGCATTTATTTTTGTAAAGGGTTTCTACATTTACCTCTAGCAACACAGTATTTTCATAAAGTTATTTTCCGTTTTTCCCACGAGAGCATGGTATTTTTGTTAATATGTAAGTTTTTAAAAATTGGGTAATGAGGAAAAATATACCACTCATCTGTCAATAATTTAAATAATAATAAAGGTGGAAACCCTTTTCAAAAATGAAGTGACTTTTCTCAATTTTCTGATTTTATTAATTACAACTTTTCAAAACATAGAATTTTTTTTGTAGCTAACAGTTTCATTGGACAATTACCGATTCTTTATTGAAAAGTAACTTTCTCTTATAACCGTGTAACACGACAATCATCGTACAATATACACGTATTCACTGGTTGTGAGTGGGATAGCTCTTTTATCAAACCCGCGACAGGAACTATTCCCCTTTGGCTTGTCCGAGGGAAATAATTCCTGTCAAGGGTTTGATAAAAGAGCTATCCCACTCACAACCAGTGGATAAGCGTTTTATTATACTGATGTATATTATAATTTCTGAGTCTATTGATTTATCGCTGGAAATCAAAATTGGCGGCAAAAATTGCATGAAAATCTTCCGAGGGGTGGATAGCAAAAACTATACCCCGGGGTATAGCTTTCTATGCGTGGAAATTTTCAGACTATGAAAAATAGCCATTTTACCTTCTTAACTTTATAAAGGAAACATTTTAACAGAAGTATAATAATTTATCAAACTTTTTTTTAATTTCCCACATTATTTTTATATGAAGAGCGCTAAAATAATAATATAGATAAAGTATGATATCGTATTGATTTCTTTGAATAATGTTGGATGTCGTATTATAGTAGTAAATATATTACTGGAGTGTTCATGTTAAGTTAATCCTCACATGCTCATATAATAAAAATATGATTTTAGTTGAGCCTGAACCTGAGACTTTATTTAAAATGCTTGTGATTTTGGAAGAAAAGTGTCAACACAGCATTTCTATTCGGATGGTTTTATTGGGGCTAGTTCACATAATTTAGATAGAGAAGCCACGATAATATTGGAACCGACCTCTGGTGATGGTGTGAAGCAATCAAGTGGTTCACCTTCAAATTGGTCGTCTGTTCTTGGAAAACATAAACTATAGGTGTGTTTATGTAATACAACAAGATGCCCTAACACTGTTAATTCTATACAGGAATAAAGTACCAAAAGTATTTATTATTTTGTAAGGTCCTGTTCAAAAGCACAAGAGAGGAATTTATGATTATAAGGTTGCTTTGTCTACCTTTAACGTAAATGCATGAGTTGACATAGCTTTTTCTGTTTTTAAACAATCTCGATGATTGTTTTTCTGTTTGAAATATTGGAATATCAAATCATAAGATTTATAGTCTATATAAACTGTAGTAGGAAAGGAGAAATGCACGAAGAAAACATATGGCTGGACCGGGAATCGAACCCGGGACCCCTGTATTACTAGTCAGGTGCTCTAACCACTGAGCTATCCAGTCCGATATCCACGGTCCGTAAAGCCCGAACTTCTACATTCCTCCCTCCTTAAACAGTCTTCGACCTCGAAGACACAAGTTCTAGGGCCCTGCCAGGAATTACTAATTTACACATACACTGTAACCTGAACAAAGCCCCCCCCACACTGGCCACCAAATGTAGTAGGAAAGGAGAAATGCACAAAGAAAACATATGGCTGGACCGGGAATCGAACCCGGGACCCCTGTATTACTAGTCAGGTGCTCTAGCCACTGAGCTATCCAGGCCGATATCCACGGTCCGTAAAGCCCGAACTTCTACATTTTTTGGTGGCCACCAAATGTAGTAGGAAAGGAGAAATGCACGAAGAAAACATATGGCTGGACCGGGAATCGAACCCGGGACCCCTGTATTTCTAGTCAGGTGCTCTAACCACTGAGCTATCCAGGCCGATATCCACGGTCCGTAAAGCCCGAACTTCTACAATCTGGAGCAGAGCTTGCAAGGATCTCCAAAAACATCATAAGTGGAATAAGGTACCTTGAATTATTAGATATCCCCTGCTGACCGTTCACACCAGCTGTATGCTCCTTGTTATGATCGGGACTATCTATAAACATTTGTTTATGACAGTCAGGTTTGTTTTTTTTCATTTGTACTCAAGTGGGACATTTTGTTTCGCTTTGAAGTCTTTAGATTTTGCTTGTACCATGCTGTATTTGGACGAATGGCGAATGTTTTTATCCCTTGCTCATGAACTTAGCTACTTAAAAGATGTCCAATGAATCTTTGACTCGGAAAAGGCATGGTTAGTCTTGAACATTTCGAAATCAAGTTGTTGAATCTTAAGAAAAGTTACATTCTTGTATTTGTCAGGAGGCCTTGTTCCTCCTCATGGCACCTGATCCCACCTCTGATGTTTTGGAGGTCCATGTTTGCTCTGCTTCTACTTTGTATTGTTTCATGGACTTTTGAGGTTGAACACTGTTCGTTATCTCCACATGTTTTGTCTACAAATTAGCATGTCCAGCAATTGACCACATGTAGTAATGCCGTTGTTTGTGCGTACAACAAAATTTATGATAAATATGATGACTTTTTATGTTTATTCGCCAGCTTCCCTTACTTTTGCAGCAATATACCTTTGTCACCTGCATACGGATTTTATATCTCTCAGCTGATTCGAAATGATTGACCACTTTCTACGTATGAACAATTTCTAAAACAAGGTAAGTTCTTGACAAAGAAATTGATGACGCAAGAATATCCGTAGTCTCGTTAAAGTCATCATTTAGTAAGTTCTATGATCGATACAATGACGATGTCAATTTATCATTAAGTCAAATGCTGACTAGCGTTTTTCATACTGATTGCTAGGCCATTAATTTTATTGTCCACAGATTTTTCCGTTTTTTCCCGAACATGACAAAAAGCACAAGGCGGGTGTGACCAGTGGGCAAGGGATGCTCATTTCTCTATGGCATCTGATCCCACCTCTGATGTTTTGGAGGTCCGTGTTTCCTCTGCTCCTGTTTTTTATTGTCTAATGGGTTTGGGGGTTAAATACTGTTCATTATCTCCACATATATCATCGTCTTGAATATCCCAGATGTTTTGACATTTTGTTGATTTATCTATGTTATGAACATTTTACAACTTTTATTTTATCTAGCTATTTACTAATTACACCAGCAAAAAACATAAGGCTACAGAACTGACATATTGGTAGGAAAATAGCTAAACTAAAATGAAAAAGGAAACAATAAATACGATTATCAATATTTATCAGTGCCACTGCCACATATAAAGTTTCCTGTTCTTTCATGTACATGTACCTACTCAAAGGCTCGTCAGAATCAGAGCGTTTAATTTGATTTAATTAAATACATTACTGGAAACAGGAAAAAATGGAGTGTATTTGGTTGTTTAGATTGTTAGTTTCGATATTCCTTTTTTGCCCAAATGCATGGGGTGAGTATAATGTAAAATATCAATAATATATGTACGAGGACAATTGGATAATTGAACATTTTCAAATATTTGTATAACCTGTGACTAGAATGCGATACTTGTACGAGAATGGTCAGGATATTTTCATTATTTGTACATTGATTGGAATACGATATTCGTACGAGGACGTCAGGATGGTTTTGAGTATTGATGTAACGTGAAGCGGTCACCCTTCCAAGGGAGAAACAGGCTATTTGTTGCTTAACTTGCCTGAAATATAGGGAGACTCTACTGCATCACTAGGAAAGCTTCTTCTCTAGTGGATTTCCCTTTATACTGTCGGCTCTACTTCTCACTGCTCAGGGAAGCTTCGACTCAAAGCTAAGCATTAGTTCTCTTTGAGTGTCTTGAACTCTTCTTGAAGCTACGGCAACCAATGCCGTTCCCGGACACGAAGTCCGTACCTGGACACAAAGTTCCAGCCTTGGAGCTTCCTGAAGCAGATCGGAACCTTCAGTTACGGCAACCCCCTGCTGTCCACAGACACAAAGGCTGTATATGGACACTAAGTCCAACCTCTTAGACTTCCTGAAGCAGGACACTAGGCACCAGAGTCACTACGCTGACACCAATTTTGTAATGTGGAAGCGGTCACCTATCCAAGGCAGAAACAGGTTCGCCGTTTGCTGAACTTGTCTGATAGAGAGGCTCTACTGCATCACTAGACAAGCTAGTTTACTAGCGAGACAGTGAAGTTCCCAATACTGTCCGCTACATTGATAATATTTGTACAACGAAGGTCGTGAACTTTTTAAATATTTATGTAGCCATTGAGTGGAATACAATACTTGTACGAGGATGATCGTGAATATTAATATAATATTTTGCAGGTGGTTGGTCTTTTTGGAGTGACTGGACGCTGTGTTCTTATCCCTGTGAGGGAAAAACAAGATGGAGGAAGCGGCATTGTATGACTCAGTTTTGTAATGGCAACTACTACGAATATGAATACTGTCGGCCCCAAGACTGCTTACCAGGTAACTTTGAATAATACAATTTATGAAATATGATGTGTTTCTTACTGACCCCATGGTAATAACATTAGAAAAATTTTCTTTTAGAAACAAAACCCCCACCGGTGGCTTTTCGACAAAATTTCAATAATTCTTACCTCACAAAAGAAACAAAGAGGTATGTCAAGTCCACAGTTCGGGAAAGTTTAACTCTCCCACAGAACAATTTTCTGAAGAAAATCACACGAAAAAATGAGAAAACCACAGCTCTTTTTTTAAACGAAAGCAATAGAAATATTGATAAGCATGTAACGAACATGAAAAGGAAAATTCAAGAAGTTACCATCCAAGCATCTCGGCCTGAACAGAACAATATGAATGCTAAACAAAAATTTCAACCAACTTCCAAAGAAGAAGGAAAAGGTACGGTAATTCGTAATGAAGCTTTTATTCAAATTGTAATATACAACATGGCTCTACGGCTAAGAATCCTATTTTGTTTATTTATTGATTGTAGGAGAAGACCAGATGCTTTTAAAAATCACCAGTTTATTTTTAATTCACCACTTTTGTAATTTTACGATATATTTTCAGGGGGAAATGAAAATGTTGTGATTCTGGTATCTGTTCCCATTCTAACAGCATGTGGAGTTTTATACACGATCGCTAAAATCTACAAAATGTAAGACATGAATGACATTAGTTTCATTTACATAAGAAAATATGATATCGACCTTGAAATAAGCATATTTTTACCATAAAGTGAATACATGTACTAGTAATGTATGAAAGTAAGTTCGTTTAATGTTTGTTATCTTTCAAAAAAAAAAAAATTGAAGTATAATGCAAGTTATTTAAATTGTCATATGTCCAAACATCATAATAAATAAATGTTGTTAACGTTGTTTCTTAATTAAAGAAAATCATTGATATGTTTTTAAAACATCAGAATAAAAAACAGACAAAGGAAAGCCAAAGAAGCTACAGAAAATACAAAAGAACAATGTCATTCCCCGCCTGCAATTAAGATTTCTTCCACAGAAGAGGAAAAAGAAGTACGAAAGTATGATTACGTATCCTATGACGATATAAGCAAACGTAGTTCATCCGATAACAGCTCGCCTTCTCATAGCTATGTCTATGACGTCACTTGGAACTAAGACCAACAAATCGAATAACCAAAGCATAATTTTATTTATCATTGAATATCGCACGTATTGATGGTTTTATAACGTGATGCAAGCTTTGTTTCAGTTTAAATGTCCCCGTACAGTAAATTAGTTTATGTATTATATACACTTTATTTCCCTTTGTATTAATATTTACAGTTCATTTAAGAGATGGATTTACTTGTTGAGAAATTAATGAGGACACGAACTATGACGCTTCACGTCTGCATATTTCATTCGCGTACCTCATGAATTCTCCCAAATTAAATTCATCTCTTTTATTAACATGATTTTTCTGAAGATGATATATTTGTCATTTAACGATCAATGTAGATGATTGGGAAATAATGGAAAAATACGTCGACAATTCAGTGTATATATATATAATGGATTAACAATAAGTATGAAAAACGTCAGTTAGCATTTGACTTTATGATAAAATGTATTTGCTGACAATAACTTGCCTCGTTTTAAAAATTGTTCATAAGTAGAACATACTTTTGCGTATCGAATCATCTAAGAGAAATAAACCTTGTATTCAGGTGATGAAGGTACAAATATGGCAAATTGTTTTTTATGCTATCGAATGTCATAAATGTGTTTGGCTTTATATAATTCTTTATTTTTTCTTTATTAATGTGTATTTATTAGTATGTATTTTAAAAAGTCATTTACAAATACTCTAGTTTTATTTATTAAATATATGTAAAACGTTTGTAAATACAAGAAATATTGCAGCATTTCATAGAAATGAACAAATACATAGATTAATACATAATAGTCATCGTGTGAAAATAATCTTATCCGTATTTATAATTATGTATATGTGTATTTTTTCCAATAAAAACTTTTTATTCTGAGAATATTTTTAGTATTTCAGCATAATAGGAAAACCCCACATGTATAGAATTGTAGACTAAAACTATAAATCATACTTAGAAAATGAAAAACGCACCCTTCCTGAATAATATCTAAAACCATTCCATATATTTATTTTGGTCTTCTGCCTTGTTTATAATTAGGGGATTAAGCATCGATCATAAAAAAAATTACGTCTCTGAGATTGAAAGATTAAATAGAAATACAATTTATGTATTTTATAAAATTTCAACTTCCTCTGATTAATCTCGTCCTCCTATAAGATTTTTTTTTTAGATATAGATAATAATAAATAATTCTCAGTATATGTAATATTCAAACTGATTGAACTTGAATTAAGATCTTAAACAAAAAAATATTTTTGAAATTGAATAGAATAAAATAAAAGGATTTTTAAACAAGATAATATGTAGATGTTATATAGGGGATACCTGATAAAGAAATACCAACCACAGAACACTTAATACAAAAAAGGTTACTTACGAACACCATATAAAGATTTGTCACCAACAAAATACCGGATAGATAGATTTGATTGAAAGGTTTTCCCCAAACCACTGATACAGAAATGTCACCCACAGAACATCTGTTACAGAGAAGTTATCCACAGGTGAATGAGATATCTAGAAATACCAGATAAGTAATATTCACGCTCAAACGTCAAACAATACAAAGCTGGACCAGATCAAATACGGACTTATAAAACATCAGAGGTGGGATTAGGTGCTAGGAAGGAATGAGCGTCCCCTTTACCAAATCAACCCATTGAAGTGGCGAACATACACTGACTATAGAAAGTTAAAGAACATTAAGTCGAGATGAGCTGACCCAAGTAAAAACATTATTTTGTTGAGATGAAATTCAGTAAAAGACCTCATGTTTGCTGTCAACCGCATCAAACGATGATAAAAAATTGATTTAAACATTGCTTATAGAAATAATTCAAAAGAAATTGTTTGCAGGTACTCTAAAAGAACTGGTTGGCAGATGACTTTGAAATATCTCCTGAATAAAAGAATATATACTCCCCACGAACAGTTGATGGAAAAATAAACATGAATTGGTGATATAATTATGTCTTCCCTATTTGTCTCTATTTCAGAAATTTGATTTATCATTGTTGTGCACAATCTGTAAATATATAAGTATGGCACGCCAAATTCACAAAAATGAGCAAAACATAGTTTCACAGTCGATAAACTAGGTTTATCGGTTGTAAACTATAGTTCACGGACTGTAAACTATAGTTAACAACGTTAATCTATATTTTACATCTGTAAACCATAGTTAACGCGATAATCTATGTTTCACAACCGTAAACTATACTTAACATCGAAAACAATCATTTGCGATTGCAAAACATAGATTATCTGATAAATACAGTTTCACGATTTGTAAACTATAACAAACCGTTAGGTATAGTAAACGATCTGATAAATATAGTTTCACGATTTGTGAAACTATGATTAACAACTCATTGTTGTGCACAATCTGTAAATATATAAGCTTTAATGTAAGTGTCTGTATGGCGCAAAAACACACTGTTAAATTCTATATTTATTGTATATTTAGATATAAAATCAACTGAAATTGAATATTTCCCATTTCGTTTTTATTTTACAGTTTATAATTTATTTGCTGGCCACTTTCCCGTCCTTCCTTAGGAAGTTAATAATCAGTAGGACCCCGGACACTGAGTAGAGTAAGAAGGCCACGACACAGAAAGCCCAGCCCCAGGACAGGTTGTTCAGGAAGGCCGCATAGATCAACACGGTCAGCAAGATAAAGCCACCTACAACATTAAAAATTAAATATAGAAAAAAATATATTGAGAAGAGTTGTGCAAAGAGCTTATAAGTGTATATGCAATGTCTTCTGGTCAATTTATTGATTTTTCATTATATAACATAATTAAATATGTTCGATTCGAAACATATGCTTAGTTTCTCATAAAAGAGACTTATCTCGTTTCTCCAAAACGCTTGTTTTTGTAATAATATGCGCAGAGAAATGATTTACAAGGTTTCACTATTTATGAACACGTTTATTGGTGCAAGAAATTTCATAATTTTGTTAAAGCAATATAAAAGGACTCATATAACTGCCAATGGTTTGACTGCTTGATGTCCAGGAGTAAAAAGGCTTTGTTTTTTAAAATATATTAATTTTAATTGTTTTGGTCCAAATACTCAAGCTTAAGGGAGAGCAATGGACTATCTTTTCTCCTTTTAACATAAAAATGGATGAGATTGGTTCAGCAGTTTATGAGAAACTGAAAATTTTCAAAAGTTTATGTTCACCGAGGGAAGATGCACACGATGGACGAAATTTCAATTATCTGTAATTTATAACTGAAAGGGATAAATAATTATAAGGCAGCTTCCACACCAGGAATGAAAACCTGATGAATTTGAATAGATACAAACCTGTCACAAAACACGTGACCACTGCGGCGATGTACACGATATAAATGCTAAGCTTTTCTACAAAGATGTACAGGACCAGAAGGACTATGGTAGCGATGGATCCTATAAACCCAAAGGCAGCAAAGGTCCGGGAGGCCTCAAACCAACCTACAATGGGGAGTATGAGACATACCAAATAATCAGAACTAAGGTTAAAAAAATAGGAAAAGTTTTCAAAAATCCTTCAAAAATCCTTACCTTTATCGTTTCATGCGAAATGATGTAAATCTGAATGATAACAGGGTGGTTTTGACTTTGGCCGATTTTTTTAAAATATAAAACCTGCCCAATTGCAAAGTTAATGGATAAACTTTAAATTTATTGCTTTATTCGTGTCTCATATCAGACTTGCTTGGTTTCATTCCCTATCTGCAGCTTATCTTTTCGAATAAATTTCTCTAAACAAACACGGAAAATACCAAAGTAATGATTGCCATGAAAATAAAATTGCTGTTTTGCATCAGAAAATTCATTGAAATATGTTTAAATTTACTTTCTCATATATTTACAGAATGTTTTCTTTAATTGAAAATAATGTAGGGAAAACTTGATAAATATTGTTTACTATGTTTACAATTTGCAATACTTAAACTGATGTTTGAATCCGGCATCCCATTTGTTCACTATGTCGTGGGGACACAAAAGATAGTATTTAAAGGTATAGGTACATGTGTAAATAAATACCATATTATTAACAAGGCAAACTCTTAATTTATATTAAAAAGTAAAAAACAAATAGCAATGATCTATAAATACTTACTCGCCAGATTCTTAAATGAGTAGTCCGTGCATTCTGAGTCAATACAAATTGACCATAGACCTTCATGGTAACTTTTCAATTCAAACCAATAAGGTACAGAGAAACCGATGAGATTGATAACGAAAGCTGCAATCACTAGAACACATGATATTTTCAAAAACAGTGGAGTGTCTATTACTCTGTCTTTGATTCCCATGATGGACAAGAATGCTTCCGACTCTAGGTTTGTTCGTTCTCAAAGTTTTGTCATCACAACCGTATGCAT